GCGTCTACGTGAGACGTCGAAAGAAGCCTGATGGTGTATTCTACACTGAAAATAATTAGGGACACCCCTTTAACAAAGAGACGTAAACTGGTAGGGATCACAATCCTGTCTCACACGTAAACTTGCCGCGGCCCCTCGTCACATCCCTTGCCACGGAACGAGTCCCTGTGGAGCCATCGTGAACCAGGAACGGCCCTGAACTTGACCACTGGAAGGTCTAACGGTCGGTTGGAGGATAGCTGAAGCGGTGGTGGCGGATTATCTTATCTTTCGGAAAACAACAAGCGGTGGAGCCCCTAGAGAGGGAGTCCCTTTCTTCGAGTTGAACCGAGCAAGGGGAGGAGACTGCGAGGTTTTTTAATATCTCTCAGGAAGAGAACAGTAGCAGAGGAATTGAAAGGGGAGAGTAGAACGACTGGACCGAGTGGAGGTCTCATCCGTCCACACACATTACACATTGATACCGTCTCAACGCATCCGGATGTACAATTACACAAACGTAACCTACTACATTTACACAACACGCAAGGTACTAACGTCATCTTACAATACGTACGACATGTTGCAGTCTGAAACTTATGTAAAAATTAATACACTTACTAATTAATCTAAGTAATAACCATTTCACAGACTATCGGATGAATCCAAAAGTCAGTGGTGAACTTCTGAATAAGCTGTAAGTATTAGCTGTTCAGAAACCTGTCGGTTCAAAACTAAAAGGTCTGAATTATTTTATAGTGAGTAGTTTAATTGCAAGAATACTTTACGAAAGACCCATATAAATGGAATAATGGTATTAGTGAGTCGTACGTCCTCTTCTTTATATTTACGACCTCCTAAAGGGAGAACTTGCCCTTGTTTTATATCAAAGGTAGAAGGCAGACAAAATTAGTTATTTCCCCCATGCGTTCTTTAATATTATTAGAATTTTTTTACATACACATGATCCTCAGGTTACCCACAAATAAAGACTGTACTGCAATTAATATTTACCTCCAATCCATAAGTCGGGATGTATAGGGGTGTGGGAAATTAAAAACTTTTGTGATCCGATCCAAAGGTAGAAAAGTATGAACATTGGCGACAAAGGAGGTTTGTATGAAACATGTTCTAAGTTTACACAACATTGAACTTAGTTCATGTTTTATTTCGAACACAGACTACACAACTTATGAAGAACTACAGGGTATAGTTTTCTGACCCGTGCGTGTAAAACG